CAGGGGGTCAGACTAGATGATCTGTTCAGGTCCCTTCTGACCCCAAACTACTATGAAACTATGAAGCCACCTGGCTGGGCAGCAGCCCCAGCCCCAGCCTTGCCCAACTCCCTCCTTCCCTCCCTATGGGGGCCTCAATCCCCCCTACCTTCTGACTTACCTGCAGGAGTTGCTCTCCAGGCTGCCTGGCAGCCATGTGCACATGGTGCCCCTTGCCTGACAGCCTTCCTCCTAGCCCCCCTGCAAGCTGGAACTTTGCCAGCCTGCAGAGAGCTCTTTGCAAAACTGCAACATCTGTGAGTTTCTCCACTAAAATGAGAAATGCATGTTTTCCTCTGGTAAAGGGGGAGATCAGCATTTTACTCCGTTTTTCCGTGGAAAATGGAAAACCCGATCCCTGGTCATGAGTCACTGAGGTGACTTAAGAGTCCAATCCTTGAACCACAGATCCATCTGCAGAAGTTGCAGGTCTTTCTGCAGGGGAGAATAGGCTGCAAACTAGGATTTTTCTCCTTTTCCTTCCTCTACTGGCTCTTTGCTGGTTTTAGGGCAAGATGCTTTACCTCGAAATAGGCTGCTGCTTGGTTGCGGTTGCTGGTGCGGTACCATTGGAGTCGGTTGGAAGCCAGCTCCTCCCAACTCTTAATGTTGGCTTCCATTTTCTTGAGGTATGCTTTCAATATTAAAGGCCACACTGAAGAAAATCGGAACACAAGCTATGATTGTCCAGTATCCTTTCCATATTTTAATGTATCCATATAGTTGAAAATGGAATTAAATACACATGCACTACTGGTTTCATATTTTGGGCTCCTATACACATGCAGGGAGGCTGGTCCAGTATGCTGTAATTCCAGCATGTTGGCGCAGACTCAATCTAGTCTGCTGAAGCATGGTAATTATAGCACTCCAGCAGACTCCAGCATCATGTGTGTCAGCATCCCTGCACTGAAAAATGGTAGTGAGGTGCTTTAACTAAAGCTCATTTGATGAGCTTTAGTTCCAAGCACCCCACCACCATTTTTGAGCATGGGGATGCTGATGCACGTGACACTTCTAATTAGCATGGCTCTCAGAACTACACATATTAAAGTGCCCCCCTCCTACCTCCTGCAGCATGTCTACAAATGCCCATAAGTGAATGAACTGGCAACACAGAAGAGCCAAAAACATTTAAGTGAGCAGTAAACAGCTTGCAAGCCACGCCATGGTTTCTAGATTACTTTTCCCCAAACACATGGAGATATCGGTCATGTTGAGAAGTGGACACCAAATCTTGCTCATCTTTCACACTTCAGTGGGACAGCTGTTCTTAGTGGGACTGGTAGTCTAACCAGGATTTGGTCATGAATCCTTAAACCAAACTATTTTAGTCATCCAGACTCTGAAGAGCCCTGAAATATTTTAACTGATCAAAATCACCATTTCCTCCTGCAATTTAGTATTTCAAAGAAGGTCAAACAATTTTCATGTTCATTGCCTGAGTGATTCCTTTCTAGGTTAAGAACAAACAGGGACAATTGTAGTTCAAAGGATGATGTTTCTGAAAAAGTTATAGTAATCTGAAAACAAAAGCTGATCATGCTAGAGTCACCAGCTGCACTATTAGTCCAGAGCTACACTTCCCCCAGGTGATCTAGGTTTATGTTGTACAATACACAAGGATATAAAAACATTTCATTTTGTTTTACTGCATCTTGTGCTCTTAGTAACAGATTGATTTTAACACTGTTTCAATCAGCTGATGTTTCTAAAAGAAAGTGATTCAAGGCTAATATGGAAAATGTTTTCAGAAATAGCAAGATAGCTGAACTTCTGATTTTTGGTAAACCAGTAAGGAGCTATATTTGCTCCAGTGCTTGCTATATTTGTAGTGCAATTGTTCTACAATAAGTCTGTTCTGAACAATCTGATGCAGCAAACATTTTATTTTACTATCACTGTCTTTCTGCAGTCACTTGCCAGTCACCTCACATCTCGAGACTGTCTGCACCATAATTGAAACTGATTTTGGGAAACTGTTACAACAACACAATTCCCACTTGTATCGCAGATGCCATGTAACAGGATCTTACCCAATCCAGATTCAGCCCCGCTGTTCTTTTCAGACTTCCCAAAATTGCATGCAGGCAAGTCAAATAAACTAGACTCAAGAAAGAATTATTAAAACAGACTAGTTCAAATGTCAGCTTAAACCAAAACAAGTCTTTCCCCCACTACATGGGTTCTTCAGAGCTGTGCTAGACTCAGCATTTCTTTCAAAAATTGCTGCCCAGCTTTTTGTCAAGTCCTTTCCTAGTTAAAGTGTATGGTCCTGACCCTCACTTCAGGCAGCTCCAGCCATGCCTTTCTCTCTGATGTGTATAGAAAGCCCTTCTTCACTTCTCCGACACTAGGCCCCTTCTGGTTCTCTGAGAGAGCTCTCTTTTAGCTTTATGTAAGCAGGGGGTCTTTGTTATGCCCATTCAGGCTTCCCTAGAAACACCTCTCTAAAGGAATAGGCTTCCTCTTATAGAAATTCCTGGCCACAGGGCTACCACCGTGTGATGCCTGGTCACCTATCCCAAACATCAGCCCCAGACAAACATGTCCCCTGGGATCAGATGATATGATATAAGTTTGGCTGAGCCTAAATCCTCTAAAGAGCAGCCTTTGTGACACAGCATTTTTATGATCTTATATAACTGGGCTAAAGCTCTGAACACCCTACTGCAACTGGGTCTACTGATTTGGGTGTCACTTAGGTAGGCCCTTGTAAGGCACATGGAATGCATTTAAAGGAAGTTTGCAAAGGAAAAGAGTGGGGGTTTGGCCTTGTTTATTTCCTCATGATGTCTGAAGATAGTATTACATGTATTTTTTATTTTTATTTTTTAAGATATGCCTTTTGGGCATATTTTTACATGAGAAGAATAGGCATTAAAAGCTATTTTCTTTGTTTTTAATGTCTGTTTAACAGCAATGCCCAATAAATGCTTGGGGGAAAAAAGCCTTTATGAAACCTCAATACCTCCCTCCCTTAAATTACCAAGACCATGCTTAGCAGTCAGAGAAACCCAGAACAGAAATTCAGATACATATATGTGCATGTATGCACGTGTATATGTATGTGTGCATGTGGGTATACATGTATATGTGTATAAATAACAGTAAGAACCTGACTGTCAAGAAACTTTTTAGTTCTTTGTAAATAGGATGACCACACATTCCAGTTTAATCAGGACGGTCCCAGATTTCATAGGCTGTCCCAGCATCCCAGCCATTTGGTGAAAATAGAAATAAAAGTCCTTGATTGGTGCTGCACTGCCTGACCTGGCTTCTCCTGAGCAACAGCTGGAGGCAGAGGGAGAGTGCTGCTGTGAGTGCAGGCTGCTCGTCTGTGTGTGTGGGGCGCCTTGGGCAAACTTGTATTTTGGTGCCCTTTGGCGCCTTCCTGAGCAGTGGCTGGAGGTGGTGGGGAGGCTAGGCCAGGGGCAGGCAATAATTTTGGGTGGAGGGCTGCTTACTGAGTTTTGGCAAGCCATCAAGGGCTGCATGACAGGCAGCCAGGAGCAGATAAATATTAATTTTCTAAATTTTTTAGGGGCCCCCTGGGCCAGATAGAATGGCCTGGCAGGTCACATGTGGCCTGCAGGCCACATTTGCCCACCCCTGGACTAGGCTGAGTACTGCTTCTCCTGCCTAGGGCAGATATTGTCTGGGGACATGGTGGAGGGCAGGGGACAACACACAAGGTCTTGAATTTCCATAAAATTCATATGGTCACTCTGTTTATAAGACATAAAGAAAGACACTCAAATCTAAATATTTTAGGTTATCCTTCAGCTCTCCATCCAGCTTTAATGTCATAAGAAGAATTATAATGTTTTAAAGAAAAGTATTTAACATTAAATCATAACACACAATATTTAACAAGATACTATCAATGCATGTTGTTTTTTTAAACATGCTTTTTTTTTTTTAAAGATTTTTACAAGTCTGTTTAACTTTCAGATGGTTCAGTGACAGTAACATTTATTGATGCCATCAAAATGCCCCAGCATGTACTGAGGACCAAAGTCAGAGCAACATTGCTGTTCCTAAAACAATTTGGTTTGACTTCTGCTTGCCATCCTGACATAAACCTATACCAACTCCAGGTGCTGCTGCAGGGGTTTGGAGACCAAGGTTATTTTGCTGTAGGGGAAGAAAATCCATAGGTTATATGTGGGTTTGGAAGAAGACAGCTTATTCTGTGGTGCTACTGTCAGAACCGCAAGAGGAAAACCAAGTGCTGCCGCGACTGAGATCTGTGATTATAGACATCGAATTTTCTTCTAGTGTTTCACTCACTGACAGTGAAATTACCAATCAGTTCCGCTTCCCATTTCCCATGTACTAGCAGATACAAACAATGTTAAAAACAACCTTGTGCTTGAAAACATTTCATATTAAGGTTTATTAAACTCCTTTTGCCCAATCATTTTCCTTTACCAAACCTACATTCTGAGCATAAACTTGAGAGCAGTGTTTTATTTTGTGTTTGTATGTATGGTGCTAGCCACAATGGGGCTCAATCCTGCATCCACCAATCCTCTGGTGCTCTTAGAATATAAATGATCATCATAGTTTGAAAGTGCTCTTTTAAAATAATATTACAGCAGGATGGAGTCTGGTTTATGGCACATTACACTGCCTTTCTGACTCTGCCAGTATTGCAGATGATGTCACTTTTCAACAAGTGGGTTCCTGCCAACAAGAAGTGTGTAAATGCCTATCTTAATTATAAGATATATTTTCAAATGCAGTTTATACTATGTAGCATAAGATATGCTTATCAAGATGAAACTTCCAGAACTACGCACAGGATTTAAGGGGCAGAGGAAAGCTGCTTATTTTTAAGTACATCTCAGATGCTGTCCTGTATCATGAGTTTCAGTCACACACGAGGCTTTTCAGAGGGAATATCCTTTTGTGGAAAGGCCTGTTCTCCAACATGTAAATCTGTACCTTGAGCAGAGCCAGCTGTTAAGGCCTGCAAAATCCTTGGCTGCATCTCAACTACCGTCTCTCAGCTTGCTGCCTTTTTTTTTTTTCTTTTTCAAGAAGAAGAAAGTGTCTAGGTTTGAACATACAAATTAATTGATGGGGTTGTTTTAAGCTTTTTTTCCCCTGAAAATCACAGTTAATTCCTAGGCAGTTGCACAAGGTTGGAATTGGTGAAGCAGTGCACAGGTTCTCTGATTTTGAGGCCAGTCACAGCTCAACTCACAGGCTCCTGGGGTGGGGACAGTCTTTTATATTGATGGCATGAAGGCTCTTCCAACTCCCAACAAGGTGACTACAAATATAACAGCATGGCCTCTTGCGTGACAGCTAGCTTGAAAATACAAGAGGCCATGTGATCTGGGACTATGACAGGGCTTACTGTGTTCAGTTCCCATTATTTTGAAATACTTATTTAGTTAATGTTTCTGAAATGTTAGATGTCACCAGGATGCACATGAAGCCCTATAGTGATGGGAGACCAAGTGGCTTTATACCCCTTTTGGAATTAGGACATTTGTCTTCTGTGTTTTCTAAAGAATCCAGGAAAATCCACCAGTTTTTTTCATAATTTTTATATTATACCTCTATTGTGTTAGCTCAGTGATTCTCAACCAGGGGGCCGCAGCACCCTAGGATGCATGAAATCCTTTTAAGGGTGGCACACAATATTGGCACTGTTAAGTATGCACACATCTACACAGAATTCACAAGATAAACCCAGAGGGTGGTGTTCCCACATGCAGGGATGTGTGGTTGCCACAGCAAAAATAGCAGCAGCACAAATTTGTGCCGCAGCTTTTTGCCTCTGTGCATGCCCCTGCATGTGGGCTTGTTGCGGGACAAATTGTCATGGGTGGAGTAGGGGAGGCTGGGACCAGCACTTGTGCTAGTCTCAGCTGCTTTACCAGGGGTGCTAGGGGCCTCCCAGGGTAGCAGTGGTGCCAATCCAGGCACTCAGAGCCTGGCTTGCAGCCAGAGCATGGCTCTGGATGGCCAGGCTCTGTTTCTGACCCTGCTACTGCTTGTGGCAATTTTTTGTTTTGTTTTTTGGGGGCTTTTTTTGACACCTGGATCTCCTGATGTCAAATTTTGGTGCCTGTGATGCAAATGTGCAGCATGGCAATGGGTGCATATGCACTGCATATGGCTTGCGGCACCTCACATGAGTTTGAGGTACTGCAAACCACAAGTGCTCTCATCAGGATGCACATAAATACTTCAAAGAAAAATTCTGTGTCAAAAGCATTCTGGCCTGTGGCAGTCTAAGTTGTTTGCAGCAGGATTGCTTTACTGTTTTTCATAGTCCAAATAAGTGAAAGCTAAGAGCTGATAGTTTCTGAGCGGTGCCTTGAATCTGAAAAGGTTGAGAACCACTGTACCAGTGTATACAAACATAGAAAGAGGCAGTCCCACCTTAAAGAACTTGAAATTTAGAGTAGAGTCCCAATTGCACTGCTAGCTTAAGATTCAGAAGCACTCGAGCTCTAGCACCATCACTCCCCAAACTCTCACACACCTCATGGATCAGCTTAAATGCTGACTTTTAAAGATGGAGATTGTGGTATGTTGGTAGAAGTTGGGTTAGGGGAATGCTGGAGCTAAATCTTGAGCTAACATTCCACTGAAGGTATGTCCTACAGCAGGTGCAACATGTGGCCAACAATGAGAGACAAGTGGAGATAAAGGACAACAATAACATGAATAAAAATACTTGCTGATATAGGCTATTTGCATCTACAACCTGGCTTTGATTTTACCATATGTACCACAGTAACAACCAATACTCTCCCAGCTAATGCTATTGGCCAAGATGGTGCTAGTCATGCATGGGTCTGGAGGCCCTCTTTCTTGTCTGTAACTGATAAATATCCCTGAGTTGGTTTCTTAAATTTTCTCTCCACCTCTTCAGTTGAAGTTTCTTCATATTTTCTGTTTGGTTTTCAGTCTCTGCCATGGTGTCTCTTTCCTTCCTTCTCTTCATATCTCAATCGCCCTCCTCATTCTCTCTCATCAGGAATTCAAATACAAGTCATTAATGTTTTTGTTCTGAACCACACTTGCCTCCTAATCTCCAAACTTTCAACTGATCTTTATAACCTTTTATTCAGATGAGATGAATGTATGATGTTGCTGGTGCAAACATAAACTTTTTAAACGCATGAGATGATTGAAGTACTTGCTTGGAACTTCAGCTGGAGGGCCTAAGTGCAACAAAGCTTCTTTAATTCCATTGCTTGGTAGGAGGAAGAGAGATAGAGAGGACATGTAGGGAGACCTCTTCACCAGTGTATGTTCAGAGCAACAAAGGCCTAGCTAGTGACCGTGCATATTCACTAGTCAACATCTACTTTAGATTTGGCCACTGTGACTATATGTCTGCAATAGAAGTCATATACTGCTTACTCCTCAAGCCTCATACAAAGTCCTAGAGCAATGCCTCTCTACTAGGATTTTGTTCAGAAGTCCAATGTGAGTGATACAGCTAGTATCATTCCTCAGGGACTTGTGGCATCACAGCTGTGATGCACTCATTCATCATCAGGTTGTGTCATTCTGAAACTGGGATGTTACATGATATCACAGATTTCTGCTGCTCTTTTATTGACTTAGTCTCTAGTTAATCAGTTTGAGTTTTCATGTCACATGATTTATACTAGCTGTGGCTTATTAAGAGAAATATCCATTTTTGCAACTGATAAAGCGCACATAGTTTTACATGTGAAATTTAATTATGGCCCTGGGAATTTCCTGTCCTCCACCTTAAAATATTGTTGTATAGCTTGATAGAGAAGTCTTAGCAAACTGAGAGAGAACTATAGAGATAAAAAAGGTCAGAATGGGAACAGAGGGGTCCAGAGATGTCCAATGTTTGGGTATCAAAGAAAAAAAGTCAGGATTCCTTTAAGGCCAGGGAATGACCTTCGAACTATTGGAACAGAAAAAAAAAAGAGATACCCTAAGGCACAGAGGGACTCATCAATGGAGCCTGATAACAAACATTGAGGGATTGGTCCCTGAGGAGGACAGAGAGAGAAGAACACTGGGGGCTGGAGGAATTCTTCCAACCAAAGGCTTTACAGATTCAAGAGTTTAACAAAAAATTATTATGGGCACAGCTACCACCTGTTGAAATTATAGTGCAGAGGTACTCTGAAAAATGACTATGTAAAACAGCTCATACTAAAGAGATCTGCTCCCTGTGCACATCTAGGATGATATCTGTTTTAGTGATAAAAATGAGTTGTTATCCTTCCATTAGTAAAACAGAGCTAAAACAGTTCTGGAAGAAGTGGGGAGAGTCTACCCTGGCTCTCATGTCATCCAGAGAAAGGCTAACTGATTTATAACTGCAAAATCAAATGTTGCACTTGTTTACTTCAACTAAAGATAGTGGGGTTGTATACTTGCAAGAGAAGGCAGAATTTGAAGAGAGTTTTTGGTCAGAAATTCTCTCACTTATATGGAGATGCAATTTCCCTGTCTCCATGCAATGAGGGTGACTGCACACTGCAAGAGAAGAGGTGGTATTTTTTTCTATCACCTCAGGGATTCTGTTATGCAGGGGCCATTAAGCATTTCCCAGATGTTCAGGGATTCCTCGACTGCAGAATCCAGTCTTAGCTACAGAAATCTGCCTCAGCATACAAGCTTTCATTTAAAAGGTTGTTTTTCTATTCCTTATTCTACTCTATGCAGACTTTTATACCAGGCCCTTTACTGTAGGATTTGAGCATAGTAGTACACTAAATGCACTGGTAATGTATCTCGGTCATATGCCACACATGATTCTTTCCTTCTTTCTATATTTTAAGCCCCCAGGGGAAAAGTGCATGTGGATTTCTTTATGATGAGCTCTGTAGTTTTGTTAGCAAAGGTGAAGTAAAAAAAAAAAAAGTGCCCCTTCCTTAGAGGGGAGGAGTTGAGCTTCATGGAAGTTCTCAGTTCCTGTTTTGTGGGCCAAGCCCCTGGCCAAAACTTTCTGTCTGCTGCAGAAGGAACTCTGTTTGTGCAACAGACATTTCAGCAGCACTAGAGAAGCAGATTTGTGGACTGTAGTCCTTGCCCAGCACCTTGGATGATCTTTTGGAACTCCTGCCCATGAAGATAAATGCTCAGGTTTTGACTTTGTTATGGAAGCTACTGTGATAGGGAAGGACAACTTTTGGTGTACTTGTGGTCCCATGTTGCTGAAGAGTTGTACTGCTGTGTTTTGTGCAGCTTGTAGTTTCCTGAGGCTTGGTGAGTCCATGTCTAGGTAGACTATGTGGCTGTAGTCCAGTCAGAGGCTGCCAAGATGGATCCTGCAGAAACCCAGTTACTACCTAGTAGAATAGGACCCTGGCCTCCTATGAGCTGGGGAGGGTGTAACACATTATTTAAGGATATCGCGGTTTGAAAATTTGGGATCAGTGAGGAATCTAGGAGCATTCCTAAACTCCAATCTGACTTAGTCAAT